AGAAAAATGTCCCACAACTCAGCTGTGTTGGGAGAAGTCTTTTAGTTATATTTTAAGAAAATTAAAAATGGACACCCACATGGGCTCCTTGGGGAAGTCCATGGCACATCCATCTGTACCACTTTTGTATCCTGTGCTGGGGAGCCCCTGGCTGGGAACTCCTTTTCGTGTGCATTGTCTCAGAACCACGCAGCTCCACCTTAACTACCTAGTGACCAACATTTTCACTCAATGCCTTATGTGAATTTTAAATCTCTGCTATTGTAGCCTCTAGCCATGCCTAGCTGCATGCCTAGGCTATTCAGGGTGACTTCAGGAGACCAAGACTTCTTACTGCTCTGGAGGGTGCCTACCTCTTCAGAGGTTTCCTCAACTTTATTTACTCCATAAGGCCCTTAACTTTTAGTGTGTGATTTGCAGAGCACGAGGCTTTTCGCTAATGCAAATTTCACATTACAGCAGGAAAACCTAAGCTGTTTATTCTTTACTAAAAGGAAGCCAGGCTTGTTTGAACAAAGCTGATTTCCATCCTTGGTATAACATTCTAGGCTGCTTTGGAGCTTTCATTGTCAAAAAATAATGATGCTTTAGAAATTCTGCAAAAAGACCTAGAAATCAGCTCTCATTGGTCCAGTTGTAATAATTTGAGCATCAAAAATAGAACAGAAGATTATAGTTCATTAAAATTATATTGAGTCATAAAAAACTGATCAGTAATGATATCCAAAGAGAACTAATGAGAATTTTCTTTTCAAATAACAAGTGTTATATGTGGGTTGTATTTATTCAAATGAGCAAAGCTGTTATTCACATTTAATCCTGTGAATTACTTCAGTATTTTACACACACATACACACACACACACACACACACACACACATAGATGAAATGCCTGAGAGCCAAAGACTAAAAAAGACTTCACGCCTAGGTTTGGCAGGTACTTGCCTAGAACACCTGTTATAAGCTATATTACTCAGACAGTATGCAAAGTCTAAAAATTCAATAACACTTTAATTGATTGTATCACCTAGAATTTTCAGGTAATAATGCAACATCAAGGTGTGAATTTGGAAAAACCAAACTGGATAGGGCTTGTGTAAGAACTAGACTCAGCCAGAGGTGGTCTTGTTCTCAAGTTCTGATGAATGTGAAATTTTATGGCAACCAAAAGATGGGACTCTCTCCTTTCCATGTTAGTGGACAGGCCCATGAGACCTCCTGTTTTACGACTGTGGCATAATCTAGTGTAAAGCACTACTTTCTTCAAAACTTATCCCTCATATGATACACAAACTCCTTCTACCCTGCCACCTCCATCTTCACTGTGGCTGGAAGTACTTCACAGGAAGCTTACCTGCTTGAGAGGAGTGGATTTTGTGTTCTGAGGAGAGGGGAAATGTGTGGACACCTGCATTTATTTGCTGTTCGGTGTTACCAATAGTTATTCCTCGTTACTCTTAGTTATACCCTTGGTTTTCCTCCTTTTCCTATGTAGTTACTGAAAAGAACAGGACAAAGAGTTCCTGAGCGATAGAGACACAGACGCTCTTACTGTTTAGAGGGTTGGGGGAAAGTTTTGCCAGTCTCATCCCAAAATGACTTTATTGAACTTGAAGACTTTCTAGGATGAAAAATTAAAAAGACAGTTAATTTATGCTACTTGTTATTCTTCAAAGAGAATAAGATCTTAATGTTTCATATTTTGGCTTTTCAATCTTTTGTCCAAGACTTATCTGATAAGTTTACAAACATATAAAAGTAAATTATATCAAAGACTGGGGGGAGGTGTTTTTAGAGAAAAAAAAATATCGATATGGAATTATTAGGCTGATGAAAATTTGTTTTCAGTTACTTTGCTAAAGAAATGGAAATGGGTTATTGGAATAAAAGGCATGTTTTAAAAGTCATTTATGTAATAAAATGGCTAGAGACATCAAAGTAAGTGGAACAAAAACAGAAGGGAAAACTGGGGAGAAGGGACTTTTTAGAACTTAGGTATTTTAAAGTTTGAAGAAACTTAGTGGCCACACTTAGCGGTGGGGTATTTTGAGAAGCTGGAAGCAGCAGGCCACAATACTTTTATCAAGCAACTTTATCCAAGCAAGCAGCAGGAATATTGAGGGGCAGTTTTAAAATGTATTTGTACAATAAACAAGGGCTGTCCAAGAAATAGAGCTGCACAACTGCAAGGTTGTCATGTTTATGTCCTGCTAACAGAAACTGTTTCAGAAGTTTGAACAAAAGCAAATGAGTGATAAAGCTCTGTGTATTTTTTTCTCCATACCACTGGAATAGAAAATAATTTTTCACTTTATTAAATAACTGCTAGCTCTGAGATGACTTTCAGCTTCATAAATTCCATATTGGAATTGAATTGCACCCAACAGTTGGACGTTGATCAACAGAAGAGTCTGGTAGGTCCCAGTAAAGCTACATGAAGCTTTGTTTCTTCAAAAATGCACAAATTTTTCAGTGGAGGCTCAAGAGAGCAAGAAGGCAGCTAGCTCTTCTAGGTGGAATGAGGTGACTAAGGCTTACAGAGAGTGTGATCCTTAAACAGAGCTTGGATCAAAGAGTGGATATTTGCTAGGACTTAGTGCAGACACCAGCTGAACCCATGAGTACAGGGCAGTATATGTTGGAATGACACAGGCTAGTGAGCTTGCAACTGTGAGCAGTTTGGTATGGCAGGTTTGAATTTTGGATGCCAGGAACAGGGCAGGGCACATTGAAATGCAAGCTAGATCATAGATGCCCTTGTCTTTAATAAAGAGCTGGCACTTTCATTTATTCAATAAATGCATACATAGCCTACTAAATAGCCTTCTGGGAGACACTATTTTTTTTTTTTATTCTCATGGAGCTTTCAGTATAAAAGGGGTAGGCAGACATTAAGACAATAATCTCAAAATAATTATTTACTTTTACTTGTGGTAAGCTCTCCTATGTGAATGGCAATGCTGTGTTATGAGACTTTATAATAGGAAAAACTATGGTCCAAGAAAATTTCCCTGAGAAAATGACAATAAAGTTGACTCCTAAGTAGGAGCTAGTCAACTAAGGAGAACTCATTTAGGTGGTTTTGGAAGAGCATTTGGAGCAGGTGGCATGGGCAAAGGCCTGGAGTCAGAGTTATATAGAATTTCAGAGAAACAGAAAGGCCTGCACCTACTGTCTTAGTCACTTTTCTGTCCCTAAAGCACCATACCCAACACCTGCAATTTGAAGAAGAGGCTTATTTTGGCTCACAGTTTGCGAAGTTTCAGTCTATGGGTGGCAGGCTAAAAAGCAGAAACTAGATAGTTGAAGGGCCTGATGCAGAGGAAAGCTGCTTACGTTATGGTGGTCAACAAGCACAGAGAGAAGGGAGCAGACAAGGAGGGTGATACAGTTTGCCCTTCCAGGCCATGTCCCCGGTGACCCACATTTTCCGACCAGATTTCACCTCATTTATTTAAAAAATTCTATTAGTATATTTTTGCCAGACTTCCAGAAAGGTGGTGGAGTGGTGAGCAGTAGAGAAACAGCCTCTCAATTTGGTGTCCAGACACTGGAATATAGCAACATGAGGAAGACAAGGAGAGACAGGGGTCCTTGGGACCCAGCAAGAGTCTGAAGTGAGAATTAAAGTTCATGGGGAGAGTAAAGAGAGAAACTTCACCATAGAAAAAGGAAGTGGCAAGAGGTACTTTCTCCTTGAGCCCTGACTCACTGCATGGGAGGTCTCAAACCTGCAGACAGTTACTACTGGTGGCCCCAGAGCCCTTCAGGGAGAAATTACCAGTGGAACAGAGTAGTGACCCAGTGGACTGCAGTGGCTGGTGAGTTATTTGGGTTCAGACATCCCCCAGGAGAGGGCAATTGTCCAGTAGACATCTTGGACAGAGGCTAACTGAGCTCAGAACTCAGAGCAGCTGTGGGTTTGGCTCTATCCAGTTTCAGAGGGAGGTGGAACTGAGTTTGAGTCGTCAGGAGGACAGGAGCCAAGTTCAAGACACCAGGAGGCACACAAAGGGTTGCAGGGTAAACAAATTGGGTTCCAGCTTCACAGCCAGAAACCAGCCTGAACTTCAGTGGAACTAAAGGTTCAGGATTGCTGGGATTATCCACTACCCTGCTGTAAATCTATGGCTGGCTTGCTGGGATTAGCCAACACAGGTCTGGGCTCTAATCTGACCATTCTGTCTACCAGTGACAGCAGAGACGTGCCCTGAATTGGACATTTGTTTTTCTTCTTTTCTTTTCTTGTTTCTTTCTCTTTTTCTCTTGCTTTTATGTTGTTTCTAGTTTTTTTGTTGTTATTGCTCTGTTCAGTTCTTGTTTTTATTTCTTCCTTCTTTCTTTCCCTCCTGTCATCTTCACCAATTTCCCAAAGTTTGTATCATCTTCCTTTGTCCTCCAGCCTTGCTTTTAATTTCTTCCTCTTCTCTTATTTGTCAATTTTTCCTCTTAACCCCTTTTAAATTTTGTTCCCTGAGGGTAAAATAGCCATTTTCTGGTTAATTTAGGTTTTGTAAGATAATCACAAATAATTCATACAGTTAAAGGTGGCAAATTAATAGTTACCACCATTTGTCATTTTCTAGGCTGTGTTGGATACTATTGAACACAATGAAAGCAATCCTAAAAGAGAAATGTATATCAGTGAATTCCCACATCAAAACAACAGAGTGAGTGCAAATAAACAACCTAATATTAAACCTCAAGTTTCTAGAAAAAAAAAACAGCAAGCCAAGCCCAAAGCTTGTATGAGAGAAGAAATTATAAAGGTCAAAGCAGAAATTAATTCAATTGAGACTAAGAAAACAATATAAAGAATCAATGAATCAAAGAGTTTGCTCTTTGAAAGATTAAATAAAATTGGGAAACCCTTAGCCAACCTTAATATCTACTTCCCATCAAGGATGGGTTCATCAGAGATAATTGTTTTTCTTTTACAGAAAACATGATGTTTTCAAAATTGATTTTCAATTTGCATTTGTTCTAGAAAATGGTCTCTCTTCTCTTTTAACATATTAAAAATAATTTAGAATTGCTCTGAACCCATCCAATTTTTCAGTTTCATGATTACCCAAACAATTGTGCTAGTCTTTTTGCAGTATTCATTTAAAAATGTCCAGCATTTCTATGAAAGTGCTTCAATATGTACTAAGACTGTTACTTGAGTTCCCTTTTATCAAGGTGAACGTCCTTGTCTTTGTTACAGTGGAGTCATTCTTCACATAGAGAGCCAGCTCCCATCAGATTGCTCTGGGTCTGCATTTAAGCATGGTAGTTAGAATTGTCTTTTTCTAAATGCAAGGGATTCTCCCCTGGATATTTACCCAGACTCCATCACTGAACTGCTCTGTGTTCTTAATGAACTGGATATATTTATTTATTTATTTACTTTGTAAAGTCAATGCTTGGTTTTAGCTCCATCTCCAAAATATTCTCCCCAACCTTTTTTCATATGGAAGAGCTGGCTCATCACCATGTTGAGTTATAGCCTTTCTAGAATCATGGTCCCTGAGTGGACACACAAACCTCTGTTTGGATCAGTGCCCATCTGGTTGGGATCCAGGTTGTCCCTTTGAGAATCTTGTTGTCAGGGTCTTAAGTTTTCCCCTGTAGTGACCTTGAAAGGAGGACCTTTTTGGGCTCTATTCCCCGAATGCCAGACTTGCATCTACAAATGCCTTAGTCTCTTTCATGGCAGGCACTCTTCCCAGGATCTGAAGTAACTTCAGCAGGATGTGGTGATGTTGGTGTTAAAGTGTCCACATTTGAAAATTCTAGATCTTGAAGTGAGTAAAGCCATTGCACTGGCTCATACTGAGAAACCATGTCATAAATTAACATGCCTGGAATCTCATCACTTGAAGGACCATGGCCCAGGGATCTGGGCCAGGTTAATGAATTCTCAGGTTCATTGGTATTATAGGAACTTTCCAGATGACTCTTAAACAAACCAGAGTCTGGGTAAGAAATGACAGGTTTTTCAAAATGATCTTCCTGAGTTTTGTATTTCCTCAAAATCTTCTGGCAGGGGATATTGTCCTCAAGACTTTCTACTGGCATCACATTGTCCTTATATACCATGAAGCTCTCGCCCTGTAGGGGCTTGGTGGCCCCACAGCTCTCCTCTTCATCAGGTATTTCTTCCCCAGTCCCATCCCTTGTACCCTCTGAATCCTCTGAACTGAGAGTAAACAAAGACCCCTCATCAGAATCGTAGTCTTTCTCCATATCGAACTGAAGTTGAGAAGGGGCATCTTTCTGTGTTGGCCCTTTGGGAATGGCCCTGAGGCCACTCCCCAATCTTGGCAGAAGGGCTGATGGGTTCAGGTGTCCTGCATCACTGCATGTGACTGCACTGCCGAAGGCTGGCAGCTCTCCCTCAGCACCAGCCCCCAGGAGTGCTGGCTGCTGTGCCCCCCTAAAGCTTGTGGAATGGTTTACTTGTATTCCCTTAGATAATTCCATCTGTGGGCCCAGAGTTTCCGAAGGTGACTGTTTAAGACCCCCTAATTCCTTATTCTCTTGAGCCCTCAGTGTGTTTGTATGTGTGAGCATTTGGGGGATGGAAGCTGTCATTTCTTTTGAGAGTGATGGGTCTAATTCATTCATATCATTATGGGTTGAGCCAGAAACAGTAGAGACAGTTTGTAATGTGCCATCTGCAGAAGAGATGCCCGTAGAATGCTCACTGAGAGAATATTCTGGGGCCACAGTTTCATAATCGAATTCCTCGAGAATATCATTACTATATATGTGGTCCTGTCCTGCTGAACTTGGTTTATTATTATGAGCATTTGGATGTCTATAGGGAGCAGAACGAGCTGCACTACCATTTGGAAGAGTGCTGTCATTTTTACTTCTTGCTCTCTGGTTGTCCCTGAGTTGTTCTGAGCTCTGCTGACTGCCAAGCTTCTTTCTGCTGCTTCCTGAATTTCTATCAGGAATGACAGTGGCGTAGGGGTTTGGCTCTGGTTCCAGGTAAGGGTCCTGGTTCTCATAGAGGTCTGGATGTTGAGAAGCTTGACGCAGATCCATGCCTGGGTGCTGCGTGCTCCCTGTCACTTCGACTCCATCATAGAAGCCCTCGTTTGCGTAGGCATTATCTGAGCCATGGCTTCTGTTCCTTCTGTCCCGGTATCTCAGCCACATTTTGTCAACATAAGGCCTTGTGAAAGCCCCCACACAGAAAGCCACAATGAACGTGATGAATACTGACAGGCAGATAGCCAGGGTGAGGTCTTGGGGTTCATCATCACTCCTGCCTGTGGCTTGCGGGTCTTGGATGTTTTTGAGCCCTCTTGGTAGCTGTCCCTGAACCTCCATGGCATCAGTACCAGTGTGTGCCTCTGCCTGGGTGGAAAAGTGTACGTGCATTTGTGGGATTCTCCAGATATGCTTCCTTATTCCCTGCAAGATAAAAATCATATAGTGATTGGGTAGAAAAAGATTCCAGGGATTTTTCAAAGCTCCCTAAATCCTCCCCGGTCCTGGTCTAGCTATGTTTTCAAGTATCCATTATGTGGTGACAATCAGTGTTTATCTATCCATCTGTCTGTCCTTTCATTCTTGCCTAATGCCAACAGCATGTCCGTGGCTCTGTGCACATTTACACAGGCTGCCTGGCGTCTGGGGTAGGTACTCTGCTAGGCCCAGGAGGCTTTCTGCCTGACTGGTGCTCAGGGAGGAAGGAGGCAGACTGGAGGGGCAGCCACATTACTTCTCCACCCATACCCTTAACTAGTCACATTTGCTGGAACAGCCCAACCTTCCTTTTCCCCAGTGCTGGTAAACAGTAAAAAAAATCACTTTCTCTTCGGGTTCCTGGCATTCTGCCTTCCACACTCGGAGTGCCGCTTGTATAAAGGCATGAAACAAGTGTGGCTAGCAATGCTCAGACCTCCTCTGCCCTTCTTGGATTTCTTCTAAGCCTGGAAAGCATAGCATGAGTCTATTTTAAATTCAATCCTAAGTAGGACAGAGTCCAGGGCCTCCTTTTTTAACATTTTTTAAACAACATAGTTGATAATGGGAATAAAGACCCAACTTCCCAGAATGTTTAACCTCAGTAACAGTCTCATATGGTAGAAAGTCAGGAACAAATAAAAGGAAAATGTGTTTGCTTTGTGTATGTAGAGTAACATACTTTCAAGGGTTAAGCAAGCATTTAAGATAATGTTCCAAATTTTAAGAGTTATTTCTTTACTTGATTGTTAAGAATTGGGGTAAATTGTGTCCTTTTGGGGGTTCAGGGCAAAATTCTGTTTTAGTGAAATTTCTGTTTTTGACTAAATCTAATGATTCTGAGTGACATGAACTAGGTTTCTTTGACCACGGGAAAAAGTCATTCATGAACTGAAGAAAACAGTAAGACACCTGTGACTGTTCTGTGACACAGCCCCAGGCTGCTTAATGCTAGCAACCAACACTTGATTTCAGAGGGACTAGCATTGTTTCAAAGGAAACTAAAATTTTAATGTGCATTTTTGAGTTCAAATGAAATCATTTCAGAGATGAGAAATACTACTTACTACCTTGCCTATAACAGATTTGTTGTAAGTTATATCCCACTTTTCCCTCCAGGATTCAGAAATGAAACTTTGGAAGACTGCCAGTTGTCACACTGCCATTGGTTGTCAGACAAGTCAACCTCAAAGTGGGAAAATTCTAGAACAATGATTATCATTGGTAGGGCAGTGGTCAAAGCATTGCTGCTGAGGCCTACAACCTGCTTGAGAAGAAACAAATTTAGCATAGTTCGTGAACGAAGACACTTAGAGGTGATATGAATAAGTTACAGAAAGATTGTATGTATGCATCTACAGAAATAGTCCTGGTTTGAAAGTCAGGTAATATTGAGTTTACATCTCTGCTCTATTCCTAAAATCTCTTTGTGCCTTGGCAAATTGTTTACTTTCTGTTAACCTACTTCCTAGGGTTGTTGTAAGAATTAACATATATATGAAAGCCTTAAGCATGGTGTCTATATGTGTGGCCATTTAAAAAAATTACTACAGTAAAAGACACACTGCCATTAATCTACCTCAACACCCCCCTTCAAACACTTCCCATCATTCTTGCCATTTTCTGAAGCAGTTCTGGAAGCTCTTTTTCATGAATGTCTTTGGTTGTGTTGTTGTGCCTGCCTCAATGTCCTGAGTCAGTTCAAAACATTTCTCTTTCATGGTCATTTCTAGAAGCACTGTGATTGAAAAAGTAGCAGAAGATTCTGGATGATGAAGACAGAATGACTGTGGTTCACCAGAAGTAGCAAAGTGAGATCTTTTGCTTCAAATATTATTTTAAGATATGAATAGCGCATTTTTTGCATTCACGGCTATTTAATGCTTGATCATCTAGTCTAATTAGAAATTCAGGGGGAGTCCAAGGACTAAAAAACATTCAGCGACTGTAGAGACACAGAACAAGAATTGTTGAAGTTGGACATGACAGGGACATGGTACAGCAGGGAAAGCATAGGTAGGTAGGTGTACCTCCAGCTACTGTCTGCAGAACCCTGCCATGTACCACCCTGCTGGTATTTTAAATACACTCCCTTTAATCTTCCCAATAACATTTAAATGTTCCTTTTTTTTTAACAGAGAAGGAAGCTTAGCTACACAATACATCCCACATATACGTTGTCGTAGTTACTTTTTCTTGTTGCTGGCGCAAAAATACTCAACACCCAAAGGTAAAGGAGGAAAGGTTTATTTAGCTCACAGTTTGTAGAAGTTTCACTCCACGTCAGCTGGCTGTAAGGCAGGGTGGCATGGCAGACAGGCATCACAGAGGTGAAACAGTTCATGGTGGGCAGAGGTAGCAAAGAAAGCAAGCGAACAAAATACAAATGACAAGCAGCAAGCCTCTTTCTGCCCCTTATATTGTATCCAGGCTACCCACCCTTAGGGCGCATAGCACTCACACCCTTAATCCTAGTATCCTTAATCTTAGCATTGCACCATGAGTCAGTTACACACTTTAGATCCAGCCACCTCTGAAAAAGCCCCACCTATGACTGCATGAGACTTTGGGAGGACATCTAAACACAAGCCATAACATATGTTAACATGGAGCCTTGTACATAGCATGCACTCAGTAAAGAAGAAAAAAGAAATAATGGAATGACAAAGCTGTGATCAGATCTGGCTTAGGAGCTGTGTGCTTTTATTGTAGAATACACCATCTCAGAACCATAGTCCCTGCTACACTAGCATGAGCAGGGGCTGTGCTGAGGAGGCCTGGAGCAGGAGACACCAGTGTGGGGCATGGAGTTTGGGGGTAGGGTTGTAGAAAACTAGAAAATCATGAAACAGAATGTGCAAACCTTGCTTTGTAAAAAAGAAGACTGTGCCTGAAAACCATGAAGGCTAAATATTATCAGGGCAATTGTTTTATAAACACCAGGAAAATCAGAATTTATATCTTGGGTTATATGAATTTTTAAGAAGAGCTGATTGAAACCATCAAATGTCACCACAAACAAGACCACTGGGAGTAGAATCTGAAATTTTTACCAATTTTAGTGAGGGTGAACTTTTCCTGAAGTCGGTGGACAAATAGTCTTAAGTTTCAAGGAACAATTGCCAAAACTAAGAGGTTAGAGACAGACTTGGAAGAAAAAACACTTGACTTTAGCCTGGACTTGCCTAGGATCAGTAGCTTTCTTAGGTATGTTCCTCTCTTCATCAACAGACTGAAATAGTCTTTTGTTTTTCCAGTAGTTGCTGAGATAAAAACCTGACACTGAATGTTAAAGGGAAAGGGTTTATTTAGCTGATAGTTTGTAGAGGTTTCAGTCTATAATCAGGTGGCTCCAAGGCAGGTTAGCATGGCACACAGGCACCAGAGAGGAGAAACAGTTTGTGACAGCAGGCAGAAAGTAGCAAAGCAAGCAACCGAATAAACTACAAATGACTAGCAGCGAGCCTCTTTCTGTTCTTCCACTGCATTTCTTTTTGTGTATTACTTCATCCTAGCATCTTATTACAGATCATGGAATTGGAAGCAAAAACTGGAAGGATGAAAAAATTAATGAAAAAATTCAGAAAAACAATTTCTGAGAAATGATCAAATAGAATATGCCAATTTTCTGAAGAAATGCCCATCCAGTGGAATCTAAAGAGGGTGTACATTATGGAACGACTGGGAGAAGCATGTAATATTGCTTTACAAATCACTGCATCTAAAAGGAATGAGATAAGGTTAAGAAAAGAAATGTTAATCTGAAATGTCAGTGAAACTTATTCCATTTAAACACAGTGATGAATTTATGCTTTGAAAGTCAAATCTATCTGGCTTCTGAAGAGAGTCACACATGGGAGGACACATAGGCTAGTCTCATTAGTAAATTCATTCCCCAGAAGGAAAACAGCATCCATTGTGATATTCAGCTTTCTGTTACCAAATATGTTCTTCATTTTCTAAAGCCAGTTTTCAGAGTTATTGCCAACCACGTAGAAGGGGTAATTGAGAAGATAATTCTTGGCAATTCTAGTAAATTGAGAATTTCAGCTGTGTTTAAAACATTCTTGGAATTGATTTTTAGTTTGCCTGTGGCATCTATTACCTGTAAGCTTCAAAAGACTCATAAAGTACAATAAGAATGCACAGGAAGTAAAACAGGACAAATTACATACACACACAGGTATACTTACCAGTATACATGGTGCTAAATGAGGATCTCAAATAATCTGAGCACCTCTTTGTGGTGAATTGGGGAGCACTGCCAAGATAAGTAGACTTTTTAAGTCTGCTCTATGAAATTCAGTAGCAGAGAGACTCTAGGATGGTCTCTAATAATCTTGCCTCCTGGTGCCCAGATTCTTGAGTCATCTCCTACTCTTGAGTGTGGGTAGAACCTGTGATTTGTTTCTAGCCAACAGCCCACCACAACAGCTGTATGACATCACTTCTGTGATTACATTACACATGATGGCGATGTGCTTCTTGCTGTCATCTCTGGCCCCTCCGGCTCTGAAGCGAGTTGCCTATTGTGAATGGCCCTACTGAGAAGCCATAGGGCAGGAAAATGAGGGTAGGTTGAGGTCAACAGCATATAAGGTGCTAATCCCTTAGTGTCAGTCCCACAAGAAATAAGTGTCCTGCCAATGCCATGTGGGCTTGAGTTAGTTAATCCTCTTCCAGCTGAGCTTTTAGATATGAGTTGGCCTTGGCCATCACACTGCAGCCTCTTGAGAGACCTTGAAATGGAGGCTTCAGCTAAGCCACACCTGGATTCTTGACCCACAGAAATAATAAGCTAATAGCTTTGTGGGGTTTTAAAATGTTAAGTGCGTAGCAATTGTTATGCAGCCATGGATAACTAATACAACCATCCATGATCATCATTCATCATTCATTCCTTTATTTATCCAGCAAGTATCGAAAAATATGTCTTAGCTAAAAATTGGAAAACAAGACCAGCATAATATATATATGTGTGTCTCCAAGGAATTTGCCTTCTAGTATTAGGGTCAGGGACACAGGCATTATCAATCAACCATATCTCAAAGTAAATTATTTCTGTTGGGATACACTGCCTCCAGAGTTCTCCCACCTCACCACTGTTCCCTAGCCTTCCTTGAATGGAGGAGGGCTCAGGAGTCACTCTGGCCGAAGGAACAGGGGAAAGCTGGAGACCTCTCACAGCTGGGCTCCAGTGCACTTCACAGCATGCTGGGAAAGCATCAGTTGTCTACTATCAGCTGTCCAAGCTGGCTTATAGGACACCCATTAGCTGCAGGTGGCTATTGGGCAATTAAAATATGAATAGTTCACACTAGGATGTAGCATATACAACAGGTGCTGAACAGTCAGCACAAACATGGGAATATATCTAATTAGTAATTTTCATATTGACAATATGTTTGAAAGATGACATCTGAGTATATTGGGTAAAATAATATCTACCACTGAAATGAAATTCATTTATTTTTACTTGCTAAATCTAGCTACTGGAACATTAAAATTGCATGTGTGGTTCACATTGTTTCTAGTGAATGACAGTAGCTGATATAAAGGATAAGGGTGAGTGACAGAGTTGTGAAGAAGGGACACCGAACCAAGTCACTTCTCAGTGGCCACACTGAATATCACAGTGTTAAAGTCCACACTGGTGTTTCCAAGGACCACTTGGGATGGATGTCATATTATCCTCCCAAAGAGGAAGGGCATGCAGGAAGGTTCTTGGAGAAGCGCTGAAGTTGCCAAATCCTGAGCTGGGCTTTGGGGTTCCTCACCCTCACAGCTGTTGATATTTGAGGGAGATTAACTGCAACGTGCATGATTCCAAAATGTGACACAGACTCCTCTCCAAACAAGAGTCCAATTTTTAGAATGGTATGTAGCACGTGTTAAGTGCCATATAAACATGTGCTATTATCATTACTATTTTTATTATCCAATGCCCCGTTCTGACATGGAGGCCTGGAAGGTTATTGACCATGAGTGGCCCTCAGATTTCTGAGTTGTTAATGTCTTTGTGTTGGCCAGAGTGCTCCATAGGGAACTCCCCATTTGCTCTAGTTTGCATAAGACCCTTAGCAACTCTGACCAATCTTGAAGTTAGGGAGGCAGCTTCACAAATAACAGGTTTAATGTCTTGCCAACTGGTGCGTGGAAACTTGAAGTGGATTTCTTTTGATTTAGAAAAAGAATGTGCTAAGGGAGGGCAGAGATATAAAATGGGAGCCAAGATCTGTCATGTAAAGGTGCAAGATCCCAATGATAAATGTAACTGCACTGTATACTTAAAAAGTGCCAGTAAACTCAGTAAGATTTAAAAAAAAGAAAAAGAATGTGCTAATTCTTGTTGCTGAGTATTATATTTGAATACAGTCCATAACCGTGGTTGTTGCCTTTGATTTCTGAGGCAAGAAAGAGACTTCAGGTCTTTTAGGGGATTTAAAATGGATTTACATGTTTGGATTAGCCAGTACAACTGGACATGAAGGAACTCCTCAATGGACATATCTTGTAATGTCTGCACATGTAAGATAGTATAAAAATGATTTTAGAACCTGTAATTTTCTGAGGTCCACGAAGGCTTCTGGGTGAATTCTGAATATCTTGTTTTTCTTTAAATTGAGGTTCTCCAGTGGCAGAGAGTTACAAAAATCAGAGTCCAATTTCCAATATCCTGTTGACTGACAGATCCAAACTCTGCAAGGACTTCAGTTTCCATAGTCCTGTTAAAATTAAGAAGCAAATTAAAACCTAAATTTTGTAATGGTGGAAAATGGAATGCATTAATGGCTCTCAAATGAGAAACTGTTACCATGGTAAATTAACACTATGAAATAATAGGTGATTTTAAGAGAGAAAGGGGTAGATCCACATAAAAACTGACTGAACAAGAAGGAAAAAGCTAAGTTGCAGGATAGTCCAAACTACAATTCCAGTGTTTTGGAGGGAGAGAAGAGTTGTATACACACATACACACGTGTTTTGAGTGAACAGAAATAAGTCTGGAAGGAGATGAACAAAACTATTGGTAGTTGTTACACTTAGGAATAGGATGGTTGGAAGAGAGAAGGGACACAGAAGAAATTTTCATTTTTATTTTAGTTACTTTTTAATTATTTCCATGAACAGGTGCTACTTTAAAAATAAAACGTCAATAAAAACCCAACCTTGTAAAGGAGGTGATGAACAAGCATTCTTTTGACTAAACTGTGGGTAAAATTGAATAGTCTTTCTATGGTAACAGAGGAAAAAGTCACTTTGACATTTGATCATGTAGATGGATTCTTCTAGTTGTAAGACTTTCTTACTCTATTTTGTGGCCAAATCCTTCTTATAACTACATATTGTTGACATGAATCTGTTTTGGGCATTCTTTATATTCTTTAAAGGAAATATATGACAGCAGATTTTGTTTTCTAGCACAATAATCAAACTGAATTTTGGTCCCTGCCTTTGAATTTCACTTGATTCCAAGGAGTAACATGAAGGTTCATTTGGCACTGAAAATCAAGTTTAAGAATGAGGTGCCAGTCATAGCAACCTCTCAAAGTTGATTTCCCATATGGGGCTCATAGGGAAGAGCCTTCATTTTCACATTTTCTTCTGCTGTGTTCCACCTGTGAGCTGTGTCTTTAACCAATGTGTGTGTAACAAGTGAAGTTTATTCAATTCCGAAGCATTTATTCCTTGCCTACTGTCTGCAGTGTTCTTATTGCAATACTGGCTGACTATGCAGAGACAATGACTTCACTGAAATGGCTATATCAAGTAGGCTGTCATATTAAGTTGTACAGATTAAGTAAGAAATCATTAGGACAACAAATCAATACAAATAATATGGATCAGGTACTTGATACTGGAGACAAATACAGCATAGAACCTTTACCCTTAAAGAGTTTAGTCTGGTCAAATGACAAGCTATACAGACATGAAAAAGTTACTAGTTACACAAAGTTGTTCATCATGCACACTATCTAACTATAAAATTATTATCTGTCTGTTCCCCATCCATCAGATGATCAAATTGCTTCAGGGCAGAATTCATATCTTTGCACTTTTGCAATGCCTGTTATATGGTACACATTCAATAGGCCAGAGACACAGTGTCTGGCTGCACAGAGGTTTAAAATCATTGAGTCAACATTAAAGATTCAATACAAAAATTTGCATTTCTGGCATCTCTTTAAAAACTGGAAGTTCCAACTGGCATAACACTTGATTGGAGCTGAATGAGGGCTGCTTGCTTTAGATGAGCTTTAGATGTGTGTGGAGAGTATAGAAGACTATGACTTCTTCAAAGGATAGATCAAGAAGACTATGCATTCAAAAAATGATTGTGAGCCTGGCATGGCAGCATAGGCCTGTAATCTCAGTACTCTGGGAGGCTGAGGCAGGCGGGTCGTAAATTTGAGCCCAGTCTGCATAATTTAGCTTCTGTGTGAGGACCTGACTCAAAATAAGGCATCTCTGTCTCTCTCTCTATTATCTGCTTATCTATCTATCTATCTCTAAAAGATGGGGATATAGCTCAGTACAAAGGCCCTAGGTTCAACCCCCAATACCAAAACAAACAAAACAAAACAACAACAACAGAAAAAGAGAACCAACGCTGACATTCAGTTGTCACAAGCTAGTAAGACATACTCTCATACTGGTTCATAGATTGCCATTGTCTGAATTGCTCTGCACTGCCTCATGGCCCTAGGCCCTCCAGTCTGTTCTCTCCCACCCTCCCTAATCCAGCAGGACCCTGCTCCAGCAATTCAGCCAGGAGGTAGCCAACTTGGAGTCTAGACTAAAGGCCAGCTGCTACCTATTTAGAATATAATCCCAAGGAAAAGATGTTTCTTTGTGCAGGGAATATTACTATGTGTTTTAATATGCAGGCATATGGATCTATGAGGAAAAAGTACAACATAAGACACCAATATGAAAGAAGATATAGTTTTCTTACCATTTTGATGATGCCTGCTTGACCTATTAAGGGATGTGAACTTATAGTTCCTAAAATATCTCCATATTAAACTGAACTGAATAAATACCTTTTGAGCTCAGTGGAGGGGGAGAGCACATGACTAGCTTTGAAGTGGAGGGAAGAAATTATTTTCAATTTCCTACTCAATTGTGTGCTCTCTTTATGCCCTAAACATTTCACAAACATCTCATTTTAATCTTTATGAAGTCCTGGGCATCGTCATCATTCTACAAACAAAAACACCTCGGAGTGGAAAGGCACTATCTTGTCCAGTGTCATAGGAGGTGGGTCTTTAATCATACTCGCTTTTTCATTGAAAGATAAGACAAGACATGATCAGTACCTTGAAAAAGAACTGAGTAAGAAGAAGACAGCAGATAGGACTCTCTAAGGAGAAGAAAGATCTTGGGCATGGAATACATAAGGAAATTACCAGATGTACTGGGATTTATCTAGCTATTCTGAATGTGCCATGGAGTTAAGAGGGATCTGTAGGGGCACTTAAGAGACTGAGCTTTTGTTATCTTTGTAACTTTGATGTTAGTCAAGGAGCATCACTTAATGTCTCTGTGCCTCTGTTATCTTCCTTAAAAATTGTTTCTCACAGCTGGAATTGAGATCTATCTTTGATTGCAATGATCTTCAAGAATTTTGACCCTAGTGGAAGGTTATGGTTCGGCAAATATTCACACTCTTGTGAACAGAATATGTTTCTTTACACTGCTGAGTTGAGTTTGGGCATATGATTTGCTTTGGGCAATGGAATGTTAGCAGAGATATCACAGCAAAGATTTCAAATATAGAAGCCTAAATGTCAGGACTTGCTCTTTTGGCTTCTGTCAGTACTGTGAAAGAACATGGCTTGGCTGGCCTACTGTCCAAATAAGGGGCATGTGCAATAGACTTTGAACCACTGCGATATATTTCAGATGATAGGTACAATCCCTTGAGGACTAACAACTGATTATAATAGAGTTAGAGCTGCTTTTGGCTGCCATATTGTTTTTATTTGTAGAATCCAAGTCCTTTACAGGGATCAGCTTCAGGTGACTGCATGTGAGTTATGCTGGACTGTTTTGTAAGTGCTAACATATTTGTGAATGAGCTGACGCTGGAGTGAAATTAAAGACAGAAGCTGTTGATAGCCTAGAATCAAATGTGGCTTAACAGTCTGGTCTACAGAAAACCCAGGGCATTATATCCACTTACTCTTGGCTAGGTTGGTTCACTCTACCACCAAGATTTCAGGAGAACAGCTCCTAAGCCAGGTGAATCCCAAGGATCAGCCACACACAGTACATACAACAAAATAAATTCCAGTTGGGTGAAAAACATAATCAGCCTGAAAAAGCATCCCTGACAATTTGAGAATGTGAGGCACATATAATTCAGAGCTTAAGTGAAGTGAATGCAAGGGAAGGGAAGTTGTTTTTTTTTTTTTTTTTTTTTTTTTTTTGAAAATAAACACAAAGGAAGGCATTCTAAGGGAAACCATCAATGTATTTGAATAAAAATTTGAATGTGAGTGTATATTTGGAACACTGAAAAGGACAAAGATATGGATGACAGCAGGTTTTCACTGGAAACAATGCAAATAGCACGCAGTAGAGCAAAATTTTAAAATACTATTTTTAATTGTCAGCCTAGAATGTTTTATTAAATGAAAAAAATATATTTTTCCAGTATCAGGGATTGAACTCAGGACCTATGGCACCATTGAGCTAAATCCCTGGCCCATCAAATGAAAATATACATATATGTTTTTTTTCTCATTGAGTTTATTGGTACATTTTAGGTATACAGTACAGTTACATTCATCATTGAGATCTTGTACCTTTACATGACAGGGCTTGGTTCTCATTTTTTCCTCTTACCCCTTACCTTCCTTCACCCCCTCCACCCTTCCCTATTTACAAATACTTTATTTCCATTTTTTCATTTTCTCATATTTTTTCTTTTCCCTTATTTCCTTTCCCCTACACCTTTAGCCCTTTTCTTCCTATTTCACATTGTCAATTGTACCATTAGGATCTTATGTACAATTATAGTTTTTCACACCAGAGAAATAATAAATAATAATAATAAATAATAAATGAAAAAGTATTTTAAAAATGAAGGCAAGTACAGACTTTTCAGACAGGCAATATTTTTTAAAAAGATCAACAGTAGACCCACACTAAAATAAATGTTTAAGGAGGTCCTTTAGCTGAAAGAAAGAAGTTGTGCCATCGTAATCCCCAAATACACCATTCCAAACAATATAATTCCAAATGTTGAAATTCCAAAATAGCAAAATCCCTATGGTATAAAAGTTGTGAAAATTATAATACCAAAATATTAAAATTCAATATGGGGAAATCCAAAGCACAATTAAAGTCAATTTCAGCCTAAAAACAGAAATACTGAAAATTGTAATTCTCATAAGAAAAAAAGAAGTAGAAAGCCAAAGTCTGGGGATGGTTTAACATTAGTTTGGTGGTGAAGCACTATTTTGAGTGTATCTGTGAGGGTGTCCTAGTGGCCTAGCTGGGGAATATCTGCCCTCAGTGTGGGTGCTCACCATTGCAAAACAAATAATTCGGAATGAGAGGCTAGATAGAAAAGTACACATTTTGTGGGATTCCCTTATATAAAACTCTAGAAAAGACAACTCAGTCTACAGTGACAGAAAGTAGATTAGTGATTGCTTCAGGATGGGTAATGGTAAGGAGCAGGAGGGAGAAACCACAAAGGGCCATGAGGAAACTT